TAAGAGCTGAATCACTAAATTCGCCTAAAACCAATACTACGTTGTATGTTAACTAACTTGAATTTAAATAAAAACACACACACAAATAAAAAAAAAAACAGAAAGCCTCAAAATATAGAAAAGTCATGGGGATGAAAAGTACAGTGTATGGATAATATTGTAATAACTTTTTATGGTGGAAAATGGTGACAATCGCACGGTGAGCATTTTGTAAAGTACGTAACTATCAAATTATGTTGTACATCTGAAACTAATATAATATTTATGCCAACTATGCTTCAATTTTTAAAAATAAATCATTCATACAAAGTTTTATGTGGGGGAAAAAAATGCATATTCTTTCAACGTTGGGGCTTACCCACCAGTGATTAACAAAACTGCCATTGCTTATAACTACTACATGTATCTGAGTATATTTAAAGAGTAACTGTGTAGAAATAATGGTTACAAAAACAGGTTACCAAGGTATATAATTCACTTATATAATTTTATGCTGTAAATAATACTGGTAGGTTACATATTATCCCCATGTTATGGGTTGGGAAAAGAATATCACCAAGTGAACTGAAATGTCCTAGGTCATAAGATTTCATTGCAAGTGGAGCTATGGCTAAATAGCTCAAGGCAATGATTACCAAAAAAAAAAAAGTCTGACTGTGTGCAGTACAGGGATGGACCTGCCCTTCCTTTCTATTTAGTCTGGGAAAAATAAGGACAGCACTTTACACTCCCTACAGTGCAGTCAGTCAGCAATGAGACCTTAAATTATTTAACCTGTACTCAATATCCTCATTTGTAAAATGGGAATAAGTTCAAAGATTATTTTGAGGATTGAATGAGTCAATGTAAATTCTTAAACAAGCCTCTTACAAAAGAAATAAAATGTAAATGTGGCTACTTTAATTATTAAAAAATAATACTGGAGAAGGGTGCCAAGACTATTCGCTGGGGAAAGAACAGTTTTTTAAACAAATAGTACTGGAAAAACTGGGTATCAACACAAAAAACAATGAGGGAGGCCATTTACATCATATACAAAAATTAATTCAAAATGGGTAAAAGAACTTAAAAACTAAAGTTAGAAAATTTCTCGATGAAAACATAGGGGCAAATCTTCATGACACTGGATTTGACAATGATCTGTGGGATATGACATCAAAAGCACAAGCAACAAAATATATATAAATCGGATTCCATTAAAATGTAAAAATTTTTGTGCATCAAAGGACACTATCAAGAAAGTGAAAGGCAACAAATGGGAGAAAATATTTACAGATCATATATCAGATAAGGAATTGATCCCCAAATATATGAAGAACTCCTACAGGGGCACCTGGCTGGCTCAGCTGGTGGAGTGTGCAACTCTTGAAGTCAGTATTGAGTTCAAGTCCCACGCTGGGTGTAGAAATTGCTTAAAAATAAAATCTTACAAGAAAAAAGAGAACTATAACTCAAGAACAAAAACCCAAACAGTCTAATTCAAAATGAGTAAAGGGATTTAACAGGCACTTCTCTAAAAGAAAATAAATGACCAATAAGCACATGAAATAAAACGTTCAACACCATTAGTCATTAAGGAAATTCAAACCGAAACCACCAGACCACTTCACACCCATTTAGGATGGCTATTTGGTGCAACCAAATTCCACTCCCAGGTATATATACCCAGAACTAAAAGCAGGGACTCAAATATTTCCCTGCACACCAATGTTGTTGATAAGTGGTATCACTCACAATAGCCAAAAGGTGGAAATAACCCAAATGCCCATCAACAGATGAGTAAACAACACATGGTAAAAACATACAATGAATTTTTATTTAACTTCAAAAGGGAAATTCTGATACATGCTACAACATGGATGAACCTTGGAAACATTATGCTAAGTGAAATAAGCCAGAAACCAACAGACAAATATGACTCCACTTACATGAGGTATCAACACCAGGCAAATTAACAGAAAAAGACAGAAGTTACCAGGGGTGGGGGGTTGGGGGGCATTGGGAGTTACTGTTTAAAGAGATCAGTTATTGGTTAACGTCTCTGTCTGATATAATGAAAAAATCTAGAAAATAGTGGTGACGGTGGTACAACATTGTGAATGTACTTAATGCCACTGAATTGTACATTTAAAAATGGATAAAATGGTAAATTTTATGTTACATATATTTTATTGCAATTAAAAACACTAAAATACTGGAAAGCCACTGAAGATTTTTAAACAAAACAGTGACATTCTGTATTAACATTTTAGGAAAATTAACATTAGATATAACATGGGGAAGTGGAGAAAAAGAAATAAGGCTTAAAGTAGGGTTGGAAATGAAATTTTAAAAAATATTGGTGCTAGAGAAAACTAAGTTCTTGGCGTAACATGGGACATTAACTTTTTTTTTTTTAATGTTTTATTTATTTCTGAGAGACAGAGACAGACAGTGTGAGCAGGGGAGGGTCAGAGAGACAGGGAGACACAGAATCTGAAGAGAAGCTCCAGGCTCTGAGCTGTCAGCACAGAGACAGTCGTGGGGCTTGAACCCACAAGCTGTGAGATCATGACTTGAGCGGAAGTCAGACACCCAAACCAACTGAGCCACCTTGGCGCCCCGGGACATTAACTCTTGATCTAACAGGTTTCCTATACGACCTACTGGATATAGTTATCTTGAGGATCTAATACCAAGGTCGAGTTATGGAAACTGAGGTCACGACGACATAGAGTATGTGTAGGAATACATTAATGGCCAAAATATCGCAGAACTTTAAGGCAAATGCAATCTTATCAGATTTATAACTTACCTAAATATGTTTTGGAACTTAAAAGTTCTCTAAATTCAATCTTTTGCTCTCAGTTTTTACCAAAAAAAAATTAAAATTTCATTGCATCAAAATACCTTTTTGAAAGTAAAGTAACACAGTGCTTTGCCAATTGATGTCTGCAGTTGTTTATGGTTACATGAAACCTCATTGTTAATGGAAATGTTTCCTAAATAGCAATGTTTCCCCACTTTTCTCACTTCAACTAATAAATTATTTATCATTGTCATCTCTTCTGCTACAGCAAGGGGAAAAAAGAGTATTTCATTGAGGGACAAAAGTCTATACACTCTGGGGCGCCTGGGTGGCTCAGTTAGTTAAGCGTCCGACTTTGGCTCAGGTCATGATCTCACGGTTTGTGGGTTTGAGCCCTGCGTAGGGCCCTGTGCTGATGGCTAGCTCAGAGCCTGGAGCCTGCTTCGGATTCTGTACCTCCCTCTCTCTCTGACCCTGCCCTGCTCACGCTCTCTCTCTCTCAGAAGTAAATTTAAAAAAAAAAAAAAAAAAGTCTATACACTCCAACGGATTAGAATTAGAAAAGTGAACTAAAAATAAGATTCACTGTTAAAATCATCTCTTCCCTTTTCCAACTCTGGCCTAGGCACTTAATAAATGTACAGGTATTCCTCCATTTAAGAATACAGACATGCAAGGGAGCCTGGGTGGCTCAATGGCTCAATCTGACTTCAGCTCAGGTCACAATTTCACGTATTAGGTTTGTGAATTCAAGCCGTATGTGGGGGCTCTGTGCTGACAGCTCAGAGCCTGGAGCCTGTTTTGGATTCTGTGTCTCCCTCTCTCTCTCTGCCCCTTCCCCACTCACACTCTCTTTTTCTCTATCTCTCAAAATTAAGCATTAAAAGAAAAAAGAATACAGACATTGCAAAATTGCTACAGCTGGGAAGATACAATCACAGAATTTTGACTTTCCTTTTATACTTGTTTATAATGAAATCTTTATCTTCTCCAATTTAATAAATGTGCAAGTCTACATGTCAAAGTGGTACTCTACACCACCCTATAAAATCCAATATACTGTCCCTTTTGAATTCTGTATGAGAGAGATTGATCTAGGAATAAGTCGTTAATTACTTTCATCTCCACCTGCATCCCCTGAAGCCCTACAACTATCTAATCCCAATGCCACCCCTTACATACTCAACATTTACTGAATCATGTTCAATAGCCACGAATCACTCTTTACCCTCACTCAAAACACTGCCTTATGTTTATATAGTTACCCGGACAAATTCAATGGGTTACATAAACAGTAATACCAGCAAGTAAATTTCTCCAGCTCAGTGTAAATATAAATAAATCCGGGAGTGGGGGGAGTGGGTCAAAGTAAGTCAAATGGAAACCTCTAATTCTTCTCAGAAGGCACTAACATACACACGGGGAGGTCAGGTGTAAATACACACCCGGGATGAAATCTCACACACTCAAAATGGAAAATCCACCAGCTCTATGACCAGTAAGTTATGTTGAGATTTACCAAAGTCAAGAAGATCTCTGTCCTCTCAAACCATCAAATCAAAAATGGGTTTTTTGGGGGCCAAACCCAGATGTCTGGAGACCCGCACTGTAATGTCTGTGATTAGATGCAGCCTAAGTTACAAAGTTCCTAACCAAACGCGTGACAAAACCATTAAGAAACTTAAAAAGCACCGGACCCAACATTGATTTAAAATGCATTAAGTGAGAGCTACGTGGGTTAGCTGGAGAGCCCCCAACTGGATTTTCTAAAGGCTTTACAGAAATGCAGGTAGTGAAGAAAGCCAAAGTGTTGGGAAAATTAGGATTTTAGGGTTTCTACGGTGCAAGTGACAGCTGGCTCCCCGGAAGGGAAGGAACAGGCTAACGCAGGGGAGGCTGTAGGGAGGCTGATCTCCCACAGCCTAGAAGGAACAGAGGCGGGCCGCGCCGAGGGGCCTCGTCCGAGGATTCAGAAGGGGCGGGCGGAGATCTCCTGGACCGGGCTTCGCGGCTGGCCAGGCCTCCGTGCCCTCCAGAGACTCCTGCGCACAAGCAGGGGAGCTGAGGCCTAACCGGGCAGCGGCCTGGGGCTGCGGCCGGCGCGGGACCTTCTGGGGCAGGAGACTGCAAGCAGTCGGGACCCGGGCGGGGGGAAGTGAAGGGAAAGCAGGCGCGCACACACGGGGCCCACAGGGCTCGCGCCCGGCCTCACCCTCGCATGGTGAACTTGACCACGGCGAGTCTGGAGCCCGCGCCGCTCAGCTCCGGCTGGAAATCCGGGTCGCTCCCGACCGGCTTCACTCCCACCATTCTCAGCCCGGCAGGACGGCCGCGACGCCACCGGCTTCAAAACTGAAGAAGGCGACCCGGGAGAGGAAGAGGGGGAGGCTGAGGAAGGCCGAGGCCCGATCGCAAGAGGTGGCGACCGCGGCGTCTTCTCCGGGACTCTCAGTGCCGAGTCACGCCAGGGAGCGGAGCGGCCGAGGGGGTGGGGACGGGAAGGGGGGAGGGGAGAGGTGAGGGAAGGAAAGGCGTGCGGCACCCAGCAGCCACCGCGCTGCAGGGCCGCCGGCGCCTGCGCACGGTGGCGTCATTTCCGCGTCGTCCGTTTCAGCTCGCAGCGTCCAATCCTAAAACGCGACCCCTGGCCCCACCCTCGACGGAGGAGCCGGACCCCGGCTGCGGGAGCGGCGCAGGCGCGGGAGAGTCAGAGGCGGAGTGAGTCAGGTTCGGGTCATTCTCCGCGCTTCCAGGGGTGGGAAAAGTAAAAAGGGAGCTCTTTTTTTGTCTTCGAGGTTCAGTGGCTAAGGTCTTAAGCCTCCGCTCCTCAGAAGTGCTTGCGGAAATACTCTGTCTCCTATTCCGGGAAAATCGCCACACTAGACAAAATAGATTTTAGGGACCTTGATTTACGGATCTCGTGACGCAAGGGTGATCTCTGTGCAGTCATCCACAAAATGTCACGCACCTGTCTTTAAGCTCTGCCTAAAAAAAAAAAATGAAAGCACCATCCTTCTTCTAGAAACACAGTCTCGTGATAGACGCCAGCAGCAGTTAGCGATATCAAGGTTACAAAGGCAATGGTGGGCCAAATCGGACAGGAGGATGGGCCAGGGTAAACTTGCTGGAAGTGTGGCCCCTGGACTGAATCTTGATAAAAGATAGCCAGATGGTGACAGGTGACGGGGCTATTACAGGCAGAAGAACAGCGGGGCAGATTTGTGGTTTGGGGGGGGCTGATAATAGCTGATAACTAACCGATTGCGCACTAGACAAGATACATGCTCTTTGTGTACATTAGCTCATTTAATCCAACAGCCCTGTGAAGTTGGTTCTATTATTTCACGGATAGATGAATTTTTCCTTAGTTCACACACCTCATAGGAAGTCAAATCTGCATTTAAGGTAAGATAGTCTAACACCAGCGTGTTCTTTTAAATGTCAGAGTAGGTAACAAATGATTTGCTTTTGGATTTAGCTGGGATGATGAAACCGAAAAGCAAAGTGGAGGTCTGATCATGACTAGCTAAGGAACGTATTTTAACGTGAACGCAGTAATCACCGGAGGACAATTTTTTTTTTTTTAATTACAAGAAAATGTCTTTAGAAAAAGCCCTGAGGTAGCAGTGAGGAGAAGTGAGACAGTTTAGGAGGTTACTATGGTGATCTAGGAAGTGAGTTGTGGGAGCAGCCTAAGTGGAAATGAAGAGGACATGATATATCTGAGAAACGATTAGCAGACAAAAATCATAGGATTTTGTGACCAATTGGACCAATTCAGCGAGAAGACAGGAAGTAGTCAAGAATAGCTCATGTATCTCAATCTTGTGGCCTTTTGTACTGAGTTAAGATGCCTGTAGGACATCTAGGTAAGAGGTATAGACAGTAGGAAGCTTGAGTCTGGAACTAAAGGAAAACAAGTAGGCTAAAGTTGTAGACTCGAGAGTCATTAGTTTGGGTGAAAACTGAAGCCAGGAACACAATTTTCCCTGTTCTACAAGGCTAACATTCAGACAAGTGTGTAACTCTTTTAGTTATACAATTGTGAGGTTGCTTAGCCCTCAAACATTGCACCCAACATTATATAGAAACAGACTGTATATGCACACAGAAACTTTTTTTTTTAATGTTTTATTTATTTCTAGGAGAGAGAGAGAGACAGCGTGAACAGGGGAGGGTCAGAGAGAGAGGGAGTCACAGACTGAATCAGGCTCCAGGCTCTGAGCTGGCAGTCAGCACAGAGGCCGACGCGGGCCCGAACCCACGAACCTCGAGATCATGACCTAAGCGAAAGTCGGACACTTAACCGACTAAGCCACCCAGGCGCCCCTGCACACAGAAACTTTTAACAGATGTTATTGCAAAGTGATGCTCTATTGAGTGATTTTTTTCCTCTATTTTCCAAGTCTCTTCAATAATTATAAATAGCATACATAATAATAATAAAGAAAGAAAGTACAGCTGGGGGGAAAATGCTACACAACAATTCTACAAAGGCCAAAATTTCTTCCTTGCCCTATTCATAAAACAAAAATAATATTCACAGTTAACTGGTCTTCTGTGAAATTTAGGTAATGTTTAATATCATTGAAAACATAAGAGGTTTCGGTGGAGGAAATTTCCCCCCCATTTTTTAAAAAAATTGTATATACCACCCTGAAAACCCCATTTTCTGGAATTTCCATGAAAAATTTTAGAAAAAAATGTACTACCATTAAACCTCTGCAAGGATGATTTGTGATCATTCTTTTTTTTAAGTTTATTTATTTTGAGAGAGAAAGGGAGAGAACACGAGAGGAGGGGGGCAGAGGGAGAGAAAGAGACAATCCCAAGCAGACTCTGCTGTCAGCTTGAAGCCCTCTCTACGTAGGGCTCAAACTCACACACCATGAGATCGTGACCTGAGCCAAAATCAAGAGTTGGACGCTCAACCGACTGAGCCACCCAGATGCCCCAACTTGTGATTATTCTTAAGAGGATGGTACACTTTCTCCATTCCTGAGGTTAGCTTATTCATAAATGCCAAATATGCTGCACATAAGCTCCCCCACCCCATCCCTCACTTTTTGGGTATCACGATTAGATGACAGCATTTGCCAGGGTCTATCTAGCCTCAGCCCCAGATTTCCATTCAGTTGCGCCCACTACCAGAGTCAGCACTCAGGATGAAACCTATTATTTGCCATCTTACATCTTACTCTAACTGTTATATACAGAAGTCCATAGTTCTCAAATGGTAGTGAGCCCATTAAAATGTGGGTTTCTCCCATGAGAGACTCTTGAATACTGAGAACAAACTGAGGGCTGATGGGGGTGGGGAAGGGGGGAAGGGGGGTGATGGGCATGGAGGAGGGCACTTGTTGGGATGAGCACTGGGTGTTATATGGAAACAAACTTGATGATAAACAAAAAAAAAAGAAAGAAAGAAAGAAAGAAAGTGGGTTTCCAGTTTCAGACCAAGAGATTCTGATTTAGTAGTGCTGGTGCATGGCCCAGGAATCTGAATTTTCTCAGGCATTGAGGGTAGTTGAGGCGAGGAGTCCATATTTTGGGAAACATTACCTGATGCTACCTGTCTACTGTTATTTTGCATTTACTATGCATTTAGTGTGTACAAGGTACTGTGATAATGCTTTAAACACCTTTCTTTCAGGGACAACAAAAGGGAGATAAGACACTTATACAAAAGCTAAAAATACAAGATAAAATGTGGCAAGTACTAAAGAAGAACTATAGATAACATACCATAGTGGTTGAGAAAAGGAAGAGAACATTTCCAGCTGGAATGAGCAGAGGATGCTTTATAAAGTGATATGTTCTAATACTGAGGCCTAGATAAACATAGGAAGGAAATGCATAAACATCTTCATTCACAGAAATGACTCATGAGTTTTCTCTCAACTCCTCAAGACTATCATTTGCTTTAGACTCACCCATTTTTTATCAGGCTCAGTCAGTCACTGGAGGAAGGCTTTCTATCATGACTTGTAGCTGCCATGAGCTCACTTTGCTAAATTTACAAATAGATATAATAGAGATATGTCATCCATGGCTTTCTTTCTCCCATAGCCCTTTGCATATGGTAGATACAAAATAAGTATTGATCGTATGAATGAATGGCTAGGAAGCATAATGAGTACGAGTGTGACTCAGTCCACAAAACTCAGGTGTAAAAGAAATTCTTTTGTGTGTATAACTCAAGTTCATTTTGACTCTGAATCCTCATCCTCCTTCTGTGTCCAACTAGAACAAAAACAACCTCATCTCTCTGCCTGATTTAGAAATTGTACCACATTTCTGGGTTAGAGTGGGACTGGGGCTTTGGAGTGTAGACATCTAGGGGCACTATTTTTCTACATACCCTCTTGAAGTCTAGCCCTTTCTGTTTCATGTGACTACCTCAGGCATTGGGACCATTTGTTTGAAGCTGCCTCTGGACCCATCTGCCTAGGTGCACCGGTCAGACGTCTCTCGCTGGATTTTTACTTCTCCCCTTCTCCCTTCCAGAAAGACCTTCCCTTATGTTTTTCGTAAGAGTTGTATACGTTTAGCTTCTAAGTGTATTTGATCCCCCATCCACCTTTTCTGAGCCAATTTGATTCTAACCAATTCTTTCTTTCTTTTTTTTTAATGTTTTATTTATTTCTAGTAGAGAGAGAGAGAGAGAGAGAGAGACAGCGTGAGCAGGGGAGGGTCAGAGAGAGAGGGAGACACAGACTGAAACAGGCTCCAGGCTCTGAGCTGGCTGTCAGCACAGAGCCCGACGCGGGGCTCGAACCCACGAACCCCGAGATCATGACCTAAGTGAAAGTCGGACGCTTAAACGACTAAGCCACCCCGGCGCCCCCTAATCAATTCTTTCAATTTGATTCTAGTCATTTAAAAGAACTCTCATGATAGAAAAGAAAGGCACAATTTTCTAGTTTCATATATATTTGAGTGCTTGTTGGTGAGGCACAATGCAATAACCATATGATCTCTGATGTTAGTTTTTCTTTAAATGTAGTCTTCTTGTAAAAAGTTGGGGGAATACCACTCTGATTTTTTGAAAAGTAATAGCAAGATTATAATGAAGAAAGAACGTTTATTCCACAAAAAAAAGTCCTCATAAATTCCTCTGAGATATAATATACATCTTTAAATAAATAAATATAATATACCTCTTTAAATAAATAACTTTAAATAATAACTATTTGCAGAAGCCCAAGGATACAGATTTATTGGTGAATTCCTTAAACCGTATGAAATCCCCCAATTAACTTATCAGAGTTACAACTTCCCCCAAAATTCTGCATAAAAATATCATCTTCTTAATAGCTTATTGTTACCTAATTCCTGAAGAATTAGCAATCTTATAATGTTTTATATCAGCTTAATTCTTTAATTGAGTGGGTAATTTATTTTAAAAATTATTTTAGGTGATCTTTGTTTTATTCCCAAGGTCTTGAGAGAAAATATGTAATTTATGTAATATAAATATTAAATAGAAAGGACATCCTTCTTCATAATTT